CAAAAGTCTCCAAACCAAAAATAAATAAATAAAAACAACAACAACCAGATGGTCTTAGTGCAGAATTCTACAAGATTTTAAAAGAACTAATACCAATAATCCTTAAATTGTTTCACACAGTAGAAACAGAAGGAATATTGTCAAACTCCTTCTATGAAGCTACAATTACCCTGATAACCCAAACCACACAAAGACACTACTAAGAAAGAGAATACAGACCAATCTCACTCATGAACATTGATGCAGAAATATTCAATAAAATACTGGCAAACCAATTCCAGGAACATATCAAAAAAAAAAAATCATCCACCATGACTAAGTAGGCTTCATCCCAGAGATGTAAGGATGGTTCAGCATATGAAAATCTGTCAATGTAATCCACCATGTAAACAAACTGAAAAAGAAACCCCACATGATCATTTCATTAGATGTGGAAAAAGCCTTTGACAAAATACAACATCCCTTCATGATAAAGGTCTTGGAGAGAGCAGGAATGCAAGGAACACACCTAAACATAATAAAGACAATATACAGCAAGCCAACAGCCAACATCAAACTAAATGAAAAGAAACTCCCAGTGATCCCACTGAAATCAGAACAAGACAAGGTTGTCTACTCTCTCCATATCTGTTCAGTATGGTACTTGAAGTTGTAGCTAGGGCAATAAGACATCAAAAGGAGATCAAGGGGATACAAATCGGAAAAGAAGAAGTCAAACTCTCATTATTTGCTGATGATATGATGGTATATATAAATGACTGCAAATATTCTGCCATGGAACTCATACAACTCATAAACACCTTCAGTAATATGGCAGGATACAAGATTAACTCAGAAAGATCAGTAGCCCTCCTTTATACATCTGATAAATGGGCTGAGAAAGAAATCAGATGATATAAAATATTATATTTGCAAGAGCAACAGATAATATAAAATATCTTGGAAGTAACTCTAACCAAACAAGTGAAAGACCTGTATGACAAGAACTTTAAATCTTTGGAGAATGAAATTGAAGAAGACACCAGAAAATGGAAAGATTTCCCATGCTCTTGGTAGGTAGAATTAGCTTAGTAAAAATATAGGCAGGTAGATCTCTGTGAGTTCGAGGCCAACCTAGTCTACAAGAGCTAGTTCCAGGAAAGACTCCAAAGCTACAGAGAAACCCTGTTTCAAAATACCAAAAAGGGGGGAGCAATTTTACCAAAAGCAATCTACAGACTCATTGCAATGCTCATCAAAATTCTTCTCAGACCTCAAAAAAACAATACTCAACTTCATATGGAAAAAAAAATCCCAGGATAGCCAAAACAATCCTGTACAATAAGGAACTTCTGAAGGCATTGCAATCCCTGACTTCAAACTCCAGTATGGAGCTACAGTAATGAAAACAGCCTGGTATTGGCATAAAAACAGACAGGAGGACCAATGGAGCCGAATTGAAGACCCTGATATTAATCCACACACCTACGTACACCTGGTTTTTGACAAAGAAGCAAAAAAATATAAAATGGAAAAAAGCAAGGGTATTCAACAAATTGTGCTGGCTTAACTGGATATCAAATGTAGAAGAATGAAAATAGATCCGTATTTATCACTAGGTATAAAATTCAAGTCTGAATGGATCAGTGACCTCCGCATAAAACTAACTACACTGAACCTCATAGAACAGAAAGTGGGAAATACACTTGAATGCATTTGCACAGGAGACCACTTCCTAAATATAACCCAGTAACACTGACACTGAGAGCAGCAATTAATAAATGGGACCTCCTTCACCTGAGAAGCTCCTGTAAAGCAAAGACCACACTCGGCAAGAGAAAACTGTAGCCTACTTAATGGGAAAAGACCTTCAACAACCCCATATCAGATAAAGGACTGATCTCCAAAATGTACAAAGAACTCAAGAAACTTGACATCAAAAGAACAAATAATCCAATAAAAAAAATGGGGTACAGACCTAAACAGAGAACTTTCAACTGAGTAAACTAAAATGGCTGAAAAACACTTAAGGAAATGCTCAATGTCCTTAGCCAATAGAGAAATGCAAATCAAAACAACTCTGAGATTCTTACACCAGCCAGAATGGCCAAGATCAAAACTATTGATGTCAGCTTATGCTGAAGAGGATGTGGGATAAATACAATGCTCTTTCATTACTGGTAGGAGTGCAAGCTGGTGCAGCCACTTTGGAAGTCAGTATGGCGATTTCTCAGAAAATTAGAAAACAACCTTCCTCAAGGCCCAGCAATACCACTGTTGATATATAGCCAAAGGATACTCAATCATACCACAAGAACATGTGCTCAGTTATGTTCATAGCAGCTTTGTTCATCATAGCCAGAACCTGGAAACAACCTAGATGCCCCTTAACTGAAGAATGGATTTTAAAAAATGTACATTTACACAATGGAGTACTACAGAGATGGGAAAGGGATGACATCTTGGAATTTGTGTGCAAATGATGGATCTAGAAAAAAACATATTGAGTAAGGTAACCCAGACCCAAAATGACAAATATAATATATACTCACACATAAGTAGCTTCTACACATAAAGCAAAGAAAAAAACCAACCTACTGTCCACAACACCAGACAACCTATACAACTAAGAGAACACTAAGAGAGACATACATGGATCTACAAAGGAAAGAGAAAAAAGACAAGATCTCCAGAGTAAATTGGGAATGTGGGGGTCACTGGAGAGGGTAAATAGGAATGGGGATGTAGGGGAGCCAATAAAAACAATAAAAAAAGACCAGAGGGCATCTTTGAATTAAATTTTAAAAATTGCTACAGCACTATTTCAATGGTCCCTTATATTGATTAATTAAACTCTGATATTTTGTACCATTTGAAGACTAGAACCACTTTATGTGTCAAATTATTGCACATATGTGTAAATTGTTTTCAGTATTATTTTGATGTCTACAAGGTTCAGGTGGTGGCTTCCGTTTTATTTCTCATATTAATTTTTTTTTGTTAATCTTGGTTCATTTTTCTTTTAAAAGAATCTACTTTGGGTCCTGTTGATTTTATTTTGGATGGCTGTATAATCTTTAAAAATTGTTCTCTTTCATTTCCTTTCCTTGTTTGCTGTGGTTTCATTAGGCTTTTCTCTGTCCAAGTTCTTAAGGAGATTAGATTATTGATTTAAGGCATGTGTTGGCTGCACTTTTCTGTGAATTCCCACATCCGATTCAGGTGCGCGCTTTCCCGAATCAAACCCACGAGAATGGATGAATATCCAAAGGGTTGAACAGACACACAAGAAACCAGGCTCATTAACCAAAGGAGTAAATGGCAACTTTATTAAGCATAAGTCGGGTATATATACGAAGGGGGCAAAGGACAAAAGCCCCTTCCATCCGGAACAGGGGAAGAGGATGTCAGGTGTCCCAGGTGTCCGGGCGCCTTGCCAGGAAGCAGCTGTGGTGGCAGACATAATAGGCCCACTGCTGGAACCTTGCTTGTAGGTGGAATTACCATAACAAAAGAGGGCCAAGTTCTTTCTAAGCTAAACCCTCAGGCCAGTGCAAGAGCAGAGAGGTCAGGAAACCAGAGGAAAAATGACCCTGCATAGCTCCTCGAACAAAGGGGAAAAAACCTGGGTACCAACAGGCATGTCTAATTTTTTTGTTATATACATACAGTTTTATAAATTTCCCTTATTAGTGGTGCTATATTTGTAACCCACAAATTTTGCTCTATTGTATTTTCTGTTTTGCTTATTTCTGTGTATCTTTTGGGTTCCCTTAATATTTCTTTGTTATTCCATGTGCACTTAGAAGTATGCTATTTACTTTTTTTGTGTTTGGAGATTTTTCTATTGTTAATTTGTAGTTTAGGTCTCCTGTTCTCAGAGAACATACTTTGTATAATTTCAGATCCTTAAGTATATTTTGTTTTGTGTTTCTAAGAGGCAGACAGATATCTGATTGTAAGGCCAGCCTGGTCTACAGAAAGAAAGTTCCAGAATAGCCATGACTGTACAGAGAAATCTCCATAACAACAGCAACAACAACAACAACAACAACAATACTATCATTCCAAATGTCTGTTTCTCCTTGCCCAGTTTCCTATGTTGAAATGTCTTTAGGGTGGAAGTTGTATGGATTTTAAATCTTTTGAGTCATGGAATGCTTTGTTTTTGTTTTTTCTGTCTGATATAAATGTTAGTTTTTTGTGCATAGAATCCAGTGTTCTGAATCAATTTCAGAACTTTGAAAGTACAATTTCATTGTCTTTTAATGGTTGTTATTGACAGCAATATAGCATTTGTTCTTTTATAGGTGATCTATTTTTTTTCCTCTACTTATGTAAAAATTGAAAATCCCAGAGAGTTAGGCACATCTCACATGCCTGTAATTCTAGCAGTTTGGAATGTTGAGGCAGGAATTCCAGGCCAACCTGGGTATATAGTAAGACCCTGACATCTCCCTTTTACCATTAAAAAAAAAAGTTGGAGTCGTTGGTTGAAATTGAAATAGAATAACCTTCACTATTGTTATTCTATAAAAGAAAAAAATGACTGGAATGAAACAATCTTCTCCCTTGTTACTTTTCTATAATATTTTTAGAAAGCACACTAGCTAGTAACATACCACTTGCTGAGTTCATATTTCTCTACCCTTTAAGTGTACATATTTTGGATTGAAATATGACTTTCTGAAATTTTTACCTGTGAAATCTTCTCTCTCTCTGTATATATGTGTGTGTGTGTGTGTATCCTAATTTTCTTAATCTTGATATTTCAAAACTTATAATTGTTTTCTGTCAATATTTTAATTTAAAATCCATATTAACCTTATTTTTAAAGCTATACTATATCTTTCACTATTCCTTTTATTTAGTGTTTATTGTCTTTTAAACCTAGATCTTGTATGGACAACTTAATAATTGTTTTATGTGAATGTTTTAAAATGCATATTAACTTTATTTTTTAAGCTATCCTGTATCTCCCACAATTTGTTTTATTTATTGATTTTTGTTTTTGAACCTAGATCTTGTGTGGACAGTAATGACCGCACGTTTCCGATTGCCTTCTGGCAGAACCTACAATGTTCGAGCATCAGAGTTGGCCCGAGACAGACAGCATACAGAGGTGGTTTGCAACATTCTTCTTTTGGATAACACTGTGCAGGCTTTCCGAGTTAATGTGAGTATTTGTTTTACTTTATTTTCTCCTCCTTCTTGCCTTAGTATCATCATCATCATCATCATCATCATCACCACTACAATCAGCTCTGGATATTAGTCTGAATTTAGATTTATTTAAAAACTAAAACCATTAAGTTATAACACAGTTTGAACATTTTTAGTTAAGAATGTCTTATACAAGTTTATATCTGGTACACCTGCTCATTCAGACTAGATCTTTCAAAAAGTTCTGCATACTAACTGTTCAAAAACAGCATAGCATCCTAGTTCATGAACAGATCAGTAGTATGTGGGTGATTTTATAATGTGCATGAGGGTACCTGAAAATAATTTCTTAAATACCTTCCTAATATGTTTCACTAAAACCTTGTTTGTACTGTCTATGAATATAACTTTTGTTAAACAAGTATGACTAATAAGACCAATATTACATAAGTATTGTCTGAAAAGCATTTGTCCAACAAGTATTTCTTTTTGTTATTAATATCTAACTTCAGTTGTTCATTGTTACTTGAGTTTCACCTATGTGGTATGTTAGTATTAGTTCATTAATTTTTATTGCTGCATGCTATTCTTTTGAATGAGCATACCATAGTGTATCCGTTTTCCTATTTCTGTTTAGTTATTCTATTTTTTCCTTTGTCAGTGTTCAGATTATTTCTACTATGGGCTCTTAAGTTCTAATTCATGTCTTAGTAATATGTTCAAGGATACATATACCTTTTTTATTTTAAAAGCTTCAGATCTGTAGTTGGAATGGAATGGAAGAAGAGCATACTGAGTACATAGCTCCCCTTGTCGAAACTGAACTGATGTTAACATTTACTTTCTCTTTTCTTTCTAAACTCTCTGAAATGTAAGTGGTAGACACACCAATAAGTATTTAGCATCTTGAGAGTCTTCTAAATTTATATAGTCCTATTGTGTAATTTAGCATTCTATATATGATATTATTTAACAAATAGTCATGTTCATATCAAAGTCTTGGCAATCACAAGGGATCGGTTTTCTGATGTATTGTGCCTATTTATACTTTGAAATCTGTGATTTAAAATATTTATAGTTACTAAATAAGAACAACCTTTATTTTACTTGTGTTCATGTATAATGTGTATGGGGATTGAGGGGGAACATATCTGGCACAGTATGAATATGGAGGTCAGAGTGTTGATCTGGCCTAGTTTGTCACCTGGGTACACTGTCCCATTAAGAGACGAGTCCCACCCTCTTCCAACCCCTCCCCTTCTGCCTAGGGAAGTGCATATCTTGCCTCCTCCAGCCTGTGATTTCTGTCTTTCCATCTCTCTCTGAAGAGGTAACTTCTACTGTCTCTCCCTCTCTCCTCTCTTCTCTCTCTTTTTCTCTGTTTCTCTCTCTCTCTTTCCCCCTTCCCTTTTAACTGAAGAAACTATATCCAAGCTCACTCTGAATGGCGTGCCTATCTGTCTCTGTCTCTGCAGCTCCTCCTGGAACCCAGCTACCCCCTGGGGAATGGTGCCATTTTATCTAAACCATTATATAGAAGACAGCTTTTTTCTTTCTATCACTTTAGCATAGGTTTTGGGGATCAGACCCAGATTATTCGGCTTGCAAGGCAAGTGCCTTTGTCCACTATATCATCTTTTCAGTCCTGTTTACTAGTTTTTTTGAGCTTTAATTTTCCATATATTACTTAGTATTTAGCAGAATCACTAATTTGCCTTTCGAAAAATCCTAAATTTCATTTCACATTTGAAAGCAAGTTGCAAAACCATAAATATCTCATTACAACACTTAATTCATTAAATATTAGAGTTTATTAAGTGGTAACTCTTTCTCTTCTCAACTTACTACATGAATTCTTTAAAAAGTTTTTTTTGTGTGTGTGGGCATGCAGGAGATCTCTGAAGGCTTTTAGCCTAAAATGGAGTCAGGCTGGTTCATCAGCTTATTTAAGAAAACATTTTTGTTTAGTCTCCCTCAAATTGATTTTTAACGATGAGTGTCTGCCTTGAGAAATTTATTGAATACAAAACTTTTAAAAGTTTAAAATCAAGCTGGGTCTGGTGGTGAATGCCTTTAATCCCAGTTCTTGTGAGGCCGAGGCAAGGTGAATCTCTGTAAGTTCAAGGTCAACCTGGTCTACATAGCAAGTTCTAGGACAGCCAAACCCCATCTCAGCCCTCCCCCACAAAAAAGTAAAATCAGGCATTAAAATAGAAATGGTCATTTTAGTGTAAAAAGATGTGATAAATGGGTGAATTTTGAAATTGACATGATATAACTTAAAGTTACATGATAAATTGGTGAGTTTTGGAATATATGATAAATTGAACTTTGTATTATATGATAGAAGTTACAGTAATTCTTTTAATTTGGAAATGCTCTTTTTTCTAAACTTAATTGTATATTAAGCATGAGAAAACTATTAGTCAGATTTACAGTGTGAACAGTTGACCCAGTTTTGCCTATTGCATTTTCATTGGGCAGTGTAGTTTTTGGGTCTCATATCATTTTTGAAATATATTAATTTGTTATTAAAAGTGACATTTACTTCTACTGAAAAAATCTAGGTAGTTATCCTATCCACGTTGGTTGACTTTTGTGTCTGTGTTTGAAGGTTTTTTCTTCTTTCACCTTTTTGTCTTTCTTTTTTGCCTGCCTTCCTCCCTCCATCTCTCCTTCCCTCCCTCCCTCCTTTTTTCTTTTTTAGATTTAGAGACCTGGTTTCTTTGTGTAGCTCTGGCTGTCCTGAAAATCAGTCTGTAGACCAGTCTGATTTTGAACTCAAGAGATCCATTTGCCCTTTCCTCCCAAATGCTGGGGTTAAAGGCATGTGCCACCACCACCTGTCTTTCTTTTCTTTTTTCTTTCCCTACTCCAGTATGAGGATTACAGGGGCATGCCACAATACCAATCCTTGAGGTGGTGGCTAGGGATTCAGACTCGGGTTCTTATGCTTATGTAGCAAGCACTTTACTCTCTGATCATCTTGCTGGTTCCATCCATCCATCCATCCATTTATCCATTTATCTATCTGTTTTCTATTTATTTTTATGTGATAATGTAAGCTTCTTTAAGACTACAAGACAATCCTCTGTCATGCCATCTATTTTCTTTGGGTCTATTCCAACTTTATTCTTACTCTGAGCATAGGCTGTTTGGCTCTCAACTTGTGCCTAAGATTTACATCAAAATCTCTTGCCTCTGATTGAATCTGTAGTTCTCTGTCTTCCAAGAATCGTGCAGCCTCCAAATCTCTTGTGCTAGAACAAAGATGAGGACACTGCAGAATTGTTAAGTAGGTCTTTGTAGCTTTATCTTCTTTGACTCTTTCTTGTCTAATAACCTACACAATTCAACTACTTTAATAGCCCCAATTATACATTTCATTTTATCATCCTAGCCAAGACTGCTTGTTACTCTCTTTTTGGTCAGTATTTTCTTATACCATTGTTTAGAAAGTACTCATGAGAACAAAGTCAATGTAGAACTTGGTTCATCTGTTTCTTTTTTCTCCAAGGATCATAGATTGTTTGTTGTCTCTTTAAAAAAAAATAAACCACAAACACACACAGATGTATTACATACCCCACACATATATCTCGCTTTTGTAGGTATTTGTGGCAGGACAATATTTCAATACCAACTACTCTGTCTAACCAAAAATCTGTCTGATGTGGGGTTAGTAAAGATCTTTTCCCATTCTGTAGGCTGTCGTTTTGTCTTGTTGACCGTGTCCTTTGCTTTACAGCAGCTTCTCAGTTTTAGGAGGTCCCATTTATTAATTGTTTCTCTCTGTGTCTGTGCTACTGGGGTTATATTTAGGAAGTGGTTCCCTGTGCCAATGCGTTCAAGTGTATTTCCCACTTTCTGTTCTATAAGGTTCAGTGTGGTTGGCTTTATGTTGAGGACTTTGATCCATTTGGACTTAAGTTTTGTGCATGGTGATAGATATGGGTCTATTTTCATTCTTCTATGTGTTGAAATCCAGTTATGCCAGCACTACTTGATAAATATGCTTTCTTTTTTCCATTTGCTATTTTTTGCTTCTTTGTCTAATGGCGAATCAATCCCACACCAGTTAAGTTTTAAAGGGGTATTTATTTTGGGGGGATAAAACTTTCTTCAACCATTGTCAGTTCTTTTTCTGCTTCGGCTGTTAATTCTCTGGGACTGTTTAAGTCTTTATCACCATCCAAGGTCTTGTTTAAATGAATTATTATATCATGTGTTATCCCAACAGCCGGTCGTAGGCTGGAGATGTCTCCTAATAATCTTTGAAAGTCATTAAGAGTTCGTAACTGGTCTCTCCTGATTTGTGCCTTTTGAGTCTTAATTCTTTGTAAACCTATTTTATAACCTAAATAATTAACAGAATCTCATCTCTGAATTTTTTCAGGAGCAATTTGCAATCCCCATTTAGGTAATACTATTTTTACTTCTTCAAACAGCCTTTCTAAGGTATCTTTGTTTTGATCAGATATCAGGATATCATCCATGTAGTGGTATATTATGGACTTAGGAAATTGTTTGCGTATAATTTTCAATGGTTGGCTTACAAAATATTGGCACAGGGTGGGAGAGTTCAACATTCCCTGTGGGAGGACGGTCCACTGGTACCTCCTTGCAGTCTGAGAGTTATTATAGGTAGGCACTGTGAAGGCAAACTTTTCTCTATCTTTTTCTTGTAATGGTATAGTGAAGAAACAATCTTTCAGATCAATAACTATAAGAGGCCATCCCTTTGGTAACAGGGAGGGCATAGGAATTCCAGATTGCAGAGGGCCCATAGGTTGAATAACCTTGTTGATAGCTCTAAGATCTGTCACCATTCTCCATTTACCAGATTTTTTTCTTAACAACAAACACAGGAGAGTTCCAAGGGCTGGTAGATTCTTCTATATGTCCAGCATCTAATTGCTCTTGTACCAGCTGTTCTAAAGCCTGTAACTTTTCCTCAGCTAAAGGCCACTGTTTAGTCCATATTGGTTTCTCAGTCAACCATTGTAGAGGCAT